GAACCAAACTTGAGTACCTACTCGTTTGGGGGTACCACCCACCCAACAGTGAACACTACGCTGTCGGTTTTTGGTTGGCCTTAAGTGAAGGTAAGTTTTAGATTTTCAAAACCCTTTTATCTTAAACTAGGCCTAGCTTAAGGGTTATTTAGGAATATTTTATACTGGAATATAGTTTAATTATTTAAACTAGAATTCATTTAAGGGTTGACAAATATTAAAGTGATTGGCCTTAGACTAAGAATAGTTTAAGGATATTGTTGAATGTTGAATATTGAATATTGAATATTGAATATGAGTAAATATTGAATGATGAATATTGAATTGAATATTGCAATTATTATGAATGACTGATGAACATTGAATGTGAATATAAATGTTGAATAATGCATGATGAATAATTTTTAATAATTATTGATTATCTGAACTGAACATTATGTGCATAATATCAAATGATTTGATTATGAATTTAGATTCAGTTTATATGAATGTTCGATGCATTAGATATGCTTACTCAGCTTCAACGCTGAGCGTGTAGTATGTTTTATTTGCTACACGCATGTTAATGAAGTGACGTGATCCTCGAGGCAGACGGAGGCGAGATTGTCGGAATGGATGTGATGATTTTGAATTAAAGAACATAAATAAATTATGTTTGTGATTATGATTGTTAAGCTTCCGCAATATTGAAAACTCCGTACTATTTATATTATGAAAATATTATTGTGATAAATAAAAGTGTTTGAAATGTTTTAAATTTTTACGATTACCAAGTTAATACTTTAATCTGAAAGGGGCTACAGACCTGGACAGATTAGGGTGTTACATGGATGGTTAGTCCCTTGTACACCAGATTTCCTAGCCCTTTAGTAAGGCCAAAATCGTTGCTTCCTCCAAAAGTAACTCTTGGACCATCATAGGGAATTAGATTGCTCAAAAGGCTTGCATCACCCGTCATGTGTCTTGAGCAGCCACTGTCTAAGTACCAGACACCTGGGTACTTAGCGGCTTCCTGCATTAGGAGGAGGAAGATTTTGGTACCCATTTCAGTTTGGGTCCGGAATGGTTAATGGTGTGTGTCCCTACATCAAGTTTAAAGTTGCAGGGAATTTTCCTTGCAGCTCTAAACTTGTTGGGATTGTAATCATAGTTGTAGGCATAAAACTTCCTACGTGCAGGAGGTTCAATTTCCTGTTTCCTCCTAGCAAACCTAGGTTGATAAGACCTATAGTTTTGTCTAGGTTGTGCATAGTGTGACCTGTGTTGGTTATACGCATACTTAGGTGGCACAAATAGTTTCTGGGGTGGAGGATGACTATATCTTGGCATAGTTCTCCACTCAGAATTTCTCGGAAAACTCCTGTCTACCCCATAATGAGTATAGCCTCGTGTATATTGGGGGTTAGAAGGTTTTCTTCTGAAATTGTTTCCTTTTTGAGGTCTGTCCAGCTTCCTATAGTTCTTAGGAGGGACTGCCTTTTTGGGAACTTCTGTTGGTTTCTGCTTTTCCTTCCCTTTTTTCTTATTAGGTTTGGAAGTAGGTTTAGGAGGGATGAAAGTTGTCTTCCCTTTCCTTTTGGAACTAGAGGGGTCAAACCCAAGTCCTTTGCGACCCTTATGTTTGGTCGTTTCAAGCAGCTTGTTCACCGCTTCTCTGGACTTGAGTATCCCTAGCTCTTTGTTAAGGGATTTCACCTTTTCAGAGAGAGATTCATTTTCAGTCTTGAGTTGAGTGATCTCATTCAGTTGACTTTTCCGACTTTCAGTCAACTTGAGATTCTCTTCACTCAATAGTTTGTTCTCTTCTGTTAAGGATGAGTGTTTGAGATTTATCTCCTCAAAGTCTTTCATCATCTTTTTGAACTGGTCAAAAAGATTTTCAGAAGTTGGTATGCTATAAGAAGATGAGCAGGAGGTTTGTGAGGTTACCTCTTGATCAGCATCATCTTTGGCCATTAGGCAGAGAGTGTCATCTTCTGACATAGTCCACCTATCCTCACGGTTGGACTTCTCAACTCTGCGCTCCATGCAGACGAGGGCTTCTTCATCCGAGCTTGAGCT